AAAAAAAAAAAAAAAAACCCGAAGAGTGAAAAACAAAAACAGATGTGACTCTCCTGGGCTTCCGTATCTGATCGCCTCCGATCCTTTGGTTTCGAAGAGGTTTGATTAAATAACCAGTTTTAGTGCAACTAGCCCCTTCAGGATGCCTTCGGGATTTGAAAGCCCTCATAAAGCTTAAATAAGAATGGCGCGTTCGAATGATGTGTTTGAATTGGAAACACCCTTGGACCTAGCCTCTTTTCGAGAAAATTCACGAATTTTCAATTTCTGGCTTAGTTTTTTGAATACGCATTTTATTTACACTAGATTATCCCTATAACAAAAATAAATAAGTAAATAAATAAGTCCCAGAAGATAGAATTGAGGATCTTTAGAAGGGTCTAGGTCCGAGGGTGTTTCGATGGCAACACCTTCACTGCTTTACTCTGCACTATAACCAAAATATGTTTCAACCATTTTTGTATAATTTTCGTTGAGATATACCAAGCACAGGTTTATAGAATGTCAGACATACCAGAGGTATCAATTCAGCTGCAAAGTCAGTATCATCAGTGAAAAAAAAACTTTTCCTACTCCGTCCTATTTAGCTATAAGAGCAATTCAAGAAAAGTGAAAGTTTTTTTTCTGAGGAGATGAGAGCTCTTCTAGTGATTGAAGCAATCCTTTTAGTCGTGCTAATTTTATCTTCTAAGGTCCCACCGCATTTTGAATCACTACCATTATCAGTAAAGTGCGACCCGCAGAGTATCTCGTTCGCAGACTATAAAGCCTTTGCAGCTTATCTGGCAAAAAATATTAGCCAATCAAAATAGAGAAAATGTTCATAATTGTGGTTTCACTTTTCCTCTTGAAATTATGGATTTCCAAGCCACCAAATGGGAAGGGAATGCGAGGGCAGGCATGTCTTTATTATTTTTCGGCTATAAAATGATAGAAATTTAGGCTAAATTTAAGCTTAATTCCCTTCTTTCGAGATATTTAGCGTAATATTTACTTGTTCTTGACTTCACCAGCTCATAAACCAAATTTCATTGTGATTTAAGATGTGTTGTTGTCATTCCATCCACAATGATTCATAGCTTTAAAACAATAGTTTGTTTTCATGTGACGCCATTATGAAATAAAGCACTCTTAAAGACAATGTCTTGAGGGACTGAAGATATTTTGGACTGAATTAAATATTTCAGAGAATAATAGCTAGGACTAAAGCTTTTTATTTAGTCTAAAATCTCACTCAACATATTTTGTGTGTATGTGTGTTTTTTTTTTTTATTGTAGTTTTTTGATCGACGGTTTTCCAAAAGGTGGTCGGCGAACGAGACGTCACACTTTGTGGGTCGCACTTCAACGATAATGGTACTAACATATATTTTATGTACTATAAAATTTTCATTACAAGTAAGATTTGTCTAAATGTGGTCTAAGAGAATTAGCCAATCAGAAAGCAGGTTGTCAAGTTTTCTCAGAGTTCTATTTTGTTGGTAAGCGTGAATATCACTCAAACCTACTTGCCACAAGATAGTGCAAAAACATCATATAATAAAACAGCAGAAACTTGTGGATAAATTGACACACCGTAAAAAGCTTTGTGAAATTGACGTTTCGGACGTTAGACCTTCGTTAGTCCTTCGTCATTCGTCGTCTTACTCCGACGAAGGACTAACGTCCGAAACGTCAGTTTCACAAAGCTTTTTACGGTGATTCAATTTATCTACAGGTTCCTGCTGTTTTATTCAGAACCACCGACGCAGTCCTCGCTAGAACTCTAATAGTTATCACCACTTATTATAGAATTAAACCAGAGTAGAGACTTTCTAACAAAATTCTGCGCTCAAATAACTTCTGACAAACGGTTGTGGCATTAATGAGGGAGGAGTTTATATAGTTAAAATTAAAATTCTACTTCTTTCATGTACTATTTAACAATTGGTGTAGAAAATATAGGGAAAAATAAAGTTTTAAGAAACATGTTAACGTTTGTTTCAGGGTTTGATCTGTGAGTTAGCCGTGCCCTGACTTAGATCAGCCCAGAGGTTGTTTCAGGGTTCAATCTGTGAGTTAGCCGTGCCCTGACTTAGATCAGCCCAGAGGTTGTTTCAGGGTTCACTCTGTGAGTTAGCCGTACCTTGACTTAGATCAGCCCAGAGGTTGTTTCAGGGTTCGATCTGTGAGTTAGCCGTGCCCTGACTTAGATCAGCCCAGAGGTTGTTTCAGGGTTCAATCTGTGAGTTAGCCGTGCCCTGACGTAGATCAGCCCAGAGGTTGTTTCAGGGTTCAATCTGTGAGTTAGCCGTGCCCTTACTTAGATCAGTCCAGAGGTTGTTTTAGGGTTCGATCTGTGAGTTAGCCACGCCCTGACTTAGATCAGCCCAGATGCTGTTTCAGGGTTTGATCTATGAGTTAGATCAGCTCATAGGTTGCTATA